TTTTTTTTTTTACGAGGGACCAGACGGTCCGCTGCCGCACTCGACTCGATCGTATGTCTCGATGTCAATTGTAATTGCCGAGAGAAAAATGTGAGTCGGCCTATCGGCCATATTTCTTCGCCTTTAAACTGTGATTCGAAATACTGCGCAGTGGGCAGAACCGGAAAAAAATCCGGTCGTCCGGCATCGCTCGCTGGACAAAATGGCCAATTCAGGGTCACCTCTCAGAGCACGAATGCGTAATTGACGGGAAAGGTCCTTTTTTATTGCAGAAAAAAAGTTCTACTGTCGAACTCCATGAAATTCCCTGTATTCCTCTGTATTTTTTTTTTTTTACTGATGTTACTCGAAAGCATTTCGACCAGGAACTCGCTCCGTTTTCTCCTATCGTTTGGGCTCCTTTATTTGGCCATTTTCGCCATCCAGTCAAGGCCGAATTCATTCATAAGCCACGGAATGCTCAGCATATCGAGGAACGCTTGAAAATCCCCGTTCCCACGGTCAAGGGAAAAGGGAGTCGAAGTACAGTCGATAAAGTGGTGAGATAACCCACTCGACTTTGCCCCCGTGGGATTCCTCCCGCATCGCTTTCACGTGGCGCAGACGAATCAACATCGCACGGGAGGGAAAAATGTCGGGGAGGAAAGGGGAGAAGACGGTCTCGCTCCCGCCTTTCACCTCTGGGGTTTTACGAGATCCTGCTGTCGTCGCGGTTGCTCGATGTTCGGACCGACTGGGATCCTTCAGCTTCTCATCTCGTTCGGTTCGACGATTCCGTCATCTGGGAAGAATGCACGGAGACTCGGGAAAAAAAACTCGTCTTGGAATCACAGACGCGAGAGCGCGACAGATCCTCGAAGCAACCGGCATCTGCAGCTCTCGGATTCCGGCAACCCTGTTCTGGGAGGGGGGGTGAAGCAGGTGGCCCTCCAGGCCTCCCCGCCCGTCCCTCCGTCGCGTGCCGGCATATGGGACCGGAGAGACCGGGAAGGTGTTTATCTACGGCCATAATAGGGACAACAGGCACACGGCAAGGCGGGGATTCGGGTTTCCTCGACTTCTCTGCTGCCACGGCAGCTGCTTGAGAATGAAAAAAACCCTTCCCTTCCGCATGGACGTCGGGGTTCGCGTCTCCCAAACACGAATCTTTCCAGCTGTTCCTTCCGATCTACTTTGGGGTATCTGGAGGGTGACAAATGGACCTTTTCAACGGGACTTGGGCTTCCACGAAAATCCCCTCGCCAGACGGTGCCTTGGCGGCTGATCGGGACCCATATTTTCCATTTCCGAATTTGCTCTAGTCGAAGGGTTTCTGCAGAATTTTTCACCTTCGCGAGAAAAAACGGGAAGCATGGCATTTTTCACCACGCTCCAGGAAACAGCTGGAATATTATTGATCTCAGAGTTGGATCAATTTGGGAAAATTCCCCTCCTGCCGTGGCAGTTTCCGGTCCTGCGAGGGAGACTGCGTCGGCATTCAGCGCGATGATAATTGACGGACAATTAACCCGATTCAGCTACTTTCAAACTGATGACTCCATACCGTGCACCGAGCCGTTCGTGTTTTAAAGGCGACAGTTCGTGCCGCATCACAGAGAAAATCGTTTGGAGAGGGGCGGGGGAGGGGGGGGGGGGCGATCGAGCCGTGCTCCAAAGGGATCGTCGAGCCAGGCTCCAAAGGGATCGCCGAACGGGTAAACGAAGCGTATGCGGAAGATGCCGACACGGGCACCGAGGCCTCGCCATCTGTCTGGGAGCGAATTCGGGGAGTCGGCGGTAGCCTTCTTCAATCACTTCCCATCTGCCACCAGGGCCGAGGCAGGTAGCTTGGGTCTCTGACAAGCGGTTGGCGGGGGTTTATATTTCGCTCTCGTGCTTTCGGTCGTGCCAGGGTCCTCGTCTTCTCGCAGGTCGATCTTCGTACCCGTCTGACCCGTTCTGCGGTGAACGAGAGCGAGAAGTGAGGTGAGAAAAGGAGAAAGACGGAGAGGAAAGATTATGAAGGGAGGGTCGGAGCCACTGCCGAGGGGAGGGGAGGGGAGGGGATGGAGCCTACCGTACGGACCGGGGACCCCCACTCCACACACGTCAGTTTACACCCACCGTTTCGTCCGGCAGGATCTGTGTTTCTCGTCTCTCGTATGTATCGTATCCAAATGAATGGAAGTGAATCCTGACGTCCGGTGATCGGCACCTCAAAAGGACATGGACTGGAGGACCAGTCTCTTGCCTTTCTTCCTCGCCCTTCTTCAACAGGTCAGCCTCCTACAACTTGCATTCGGTCGTTGCGATTTCGGTTCCCTTCGGTGAGTTTTAACTCGTACCCCCTTCCTCAGGCCCAGAGCGAAGGCGTGTTCGAACTTCGCCTCCGCGCCTTCCACAACGACCTCGGGAAAGACGACCAAGGCGACTGCTGCTCCGGCGTCCCCGACCCTCAGTCCGGCGTCTGTTCTGGTGT